AAGGCATGCTAAGGCATATGAAAAACAACAAGGTGCTTGGTGACAGCCACCGTGGCTTCACTAAAGGGAAATCCTGCCTGACCAATTTGGTGGCCTTCTATGATGGGGCTACAGAACTGATGAACAGAGGTAGAGCAGTTGATGTCATCTACCTGGACATGTGCAAAGCATTCGACACTGTCCCACATGACATCCTTGTCTCTAAATTGGAGAGACATCAATTTGATGAATGGACCACTCGGTGGATAAAGAACTGGCTGGATGGCTGAACACAAAGAGTTGTGGTCAACAGCTCAATGTCCAGCTGAAGACCAGTAACAAATGGTGTCCCTCAGGGATTGGTGTTGGGACCGGTCTTGTTCAACATGTTCGTTGCTGACATAGGCAGTGGGATTGAGTGTGCCCTCAGCAAGTTTGCCGATGACACCAAGCTGTGTGGTTTGGTTGATACTCTGGAGGGAAGGAATGCCATCCAGAGGGACCCTGGCACGCTTGTGAGGTTAGCTAATGCCAACCTCATGAAGATTAACCATGCCAAGTGCAAGGTCCTACACCTGGGTCAGAGCAATCCCAGGCACAACTACAGGTTGGGCAGAGAAGAGATTCAAAACAGCCCTGGGGAGAAAGATGTGGGGGTCTTGGTCAATAAGAAAATGAACACGAGCCAGCAGTGTGCGCTTGCAGCCCAGAAAGCCAATCGTATACTGGGCTGCATCAAAAAGAGTGTGACCAGCAGGTCAAAGGAGGTGATCCTGCCCCTCTACTCTGCTCTTGTGAGACCTCACCTGGAGTATTGTGTGCAGTTCTGGTGTCCTCAACATAAAAAGGACATGGATCTGTTGGAACAAGTCCAGGAAAGGACCACAAGGATGGTCAGGGGACTGGAGCACCTCCTATATGAAGATAGGCTTAGAAAGTTGGGGCTGTTCAGCCTGGAGAAGAGAAGGCTGCATGGAGACCTCATAGCAGCCTTCCAGTATCTGAAGGGGGCCTATAGGGATGCTGGGGATGGGCTCTTCATTAGGGACTGTAGTGACAGGACAAGGGGTAATCGGTTAAAACTTCAACAGGGGAAGGAGGAAATTCTTCCCTGTGAGGGTAGTGTGGCACTGGAACAGGTTGCCCAGGGAGGTTGTGAATGCTCCATCCCTGGCAGTGTTCAAGACCAGGTTGGAAGAAGCCTTGAGTGAGATGGTTTAAGTGTGAGGTGTCCCTGCCCATGGCAGGGGGGTTGGAACTAGATGATCTTAAGGTCCTTTCCAACCCTAACAATTCTATGATTCTGTGATTCTATACCAGGACATATTCACGAGTCTCCAGCTTCTCCTATGTTCAATGAAATCACGGTGCACATGCAGTGGGGGTTTGTTTAAAGGACAAGAACAGCCCAGGATGTCTTTTTTTCCAGATTCCACTGACGCTAATGCAGTTTTCTGCATCAGCTACATGGTATGGAGACAAGCAGCAACACTGGGAAGTTAAGGAAGGACAGAGGAGTGAGTGTGGTCAGCTAGGCCAGAGGTAGCACAGAATTGTCACATGAAATCACAGCACAACAGATGTTGCTCCTGAAGGAAACCTGTCAGTGTTCAGAAGCACAGAAAAGGGCTAGGATTTGCCCAAATAAAGCTGAGTATTCTTTTGTACAGTGTCACAAGATCTGAGTATGTAAAATAATTCCAAGACACAGAAGGTCTGAGTAGAGCTCTAGTAAGGCAGCAGTACTGGCACAGGCCACATCTATAGTGCTGGCCTTATCAGTACAAAGACATGGACAAAGTGGAGAGATTCCAACAGGGGCCCACAATGATGACAAAAAGGACAGGAGTGTCTCTCCTGTGAGGACAGGCTGACAGAGCTGAGATGTTCAGCATGGAGAAGAAAACACTCCAGGGGATCTCATCAGTGCATACAAATACCTAAAGGCAGGCTGCAGAGAGGACAAAGCCAGACTCTGGTGGTGCCCAGTGACACCACCAGGGGCAATGGGTACAGACTGAAACACAGGAGGCTCCACTTTCAACATCAGCAAACACTTCTTCACAGTGTAAGGGTGACTGAGCACTGGCACAGGTTGCCCACAGAGCTGGTGGGAGTCTCCCCCCTCAGGGACCTTCAGAAGCTGCCTGGACGTGGTCCCGGGCACATGGCTCTAGGTGCTGACCCTGCTTGAGTAGAGGGGGTTGGACCAGATGACCCACAGGGCCCTTCTAACCTCAGCTCGTCTGTTATTCTGCAACAGCACATATACATGAGGTAAGAAAAAGACAGTGAGCTAGCACACACGAACAGAAAATTAAGGCAGAAGAAAAAAAATCTACAGAATCTCAGCACAAGAGCTAGAGGAGGCAACCAAAACCCACACAGCTATGTGTGAAGTGCTTCAGCTGGATGGTATACACAAAACCACCTGCACAGTTAGCTCCTGCAAGCTCATCTTGTAAAATGCTGCTTTAACTTCTGTAACATTGCTTTGTCCTTCAACTTGAGTGTCTGCCCATTCTCTTGGACTGCGGTTCAAAAGCATGCCTTCGGCAAGGTAAGTTGTCCTAGAGATAGGACAGTGTGGTGATTAGTAAGTTCCATAACTTAGTTTGCAGCAACCCCTCTTAATTGGTGATCTTCTGAATTCCCGTAAACTGAAATTAACAGTTTAAACACTGTATATGTAATGCAGTGGACTTTATTTCCCAATTCATTTTAGAGGCCTTTGCAGAATTTTGGGTGGGTAGTAAAAAGGATGTTTTCAGTTCAGGTGAAGGCTAGCACTGAGTACCAGTATTCCATGTACTTGCTCTATGCTTCAGTCCTGTTAAACTTACCTGTGGTATCCCTGTAAAGTTCAGAAAATAATTTCCTGCTTTAATCTTCCACTTCTAGATTCAACTTCTAGACTTCTGGTCTACTGTCATTTTCATCACCACTTATTAGTAGCTTGTGAATACACGTGCAAACACAAGCTTATCACCAACAGACACAGACAACAGCAAAGTATTTAAGCCCAAGTGGCAACCGTTTATGCAGTATTTTACCCACCAAAGGGACATAGCTGCTGCACAGCACCTCCCTGAATGTTCGCAAGTTTACATCTGCAGCCCTCTTCAAACTGCTTGGATTAACCTTTACAATGGGTACTGCAGCAGTTCTGTGACACACCAGTGAAGCTACTGTGTCTTTGATAAAAATAGTAAAAAAATCATAGGATCAGTTAGACTGGAAAAGACCTTTAAGATCATCAAGCCCAACCATATATCTAACACTGCCAAGTCCACCATTAAAAAATGCCACCGAGCATCATGTCTACACATCTTCCACATACCTTCAGGGACAGTGATTCAATCGCTGCCCTGGCCAGCTTTTTCCAATGCTTGACCACCTTTTCAGGGAAGAAATTATTCCTAATATCCAGGCTAAACCTCCCCTGGCACAGCTTGAGGCTGTTTCCTTTTATCCTATCACTTGTTCCTTGAGAGAAGAGACCAGCCACCTCCTGGCTCCATTCTCCTTTCAGACAGTTGTAGAGAGCAGTAAGGTCCCCCCTGAGCCTTCTCTTCTCCAAACTAAACATCTCCAGTTCCCTCAGCTGTTCTTTATCACACTTGTGTTCCAGGCCCTTCACCAGCTGTTCCGCTTCTCTGGACCTGCTCCAGCACCTCAATGTCTCTCATGTAGTGAGGGGCCCAGAACTGAACACAGGGTTTGAGGTGGGGTCTCACCGGTGCCCAGTACAGGGGGATGATCACTGCTCTGGTCCTGCTGGCCACACTATTGCTGATACAGTCCAGGATGCTGTTGGACTTCTTGGATGCCCGGGCACAAGCTGGCTCATGTTCAGCAGCCATCAATCAGTACCCCCAGGTCCTATTCTGCTGAGCAGCTTTCCAGCCACTCTTCCCCAAACCCAGAGCATTGCATAGCGTTGTTGTGGGCCAAGTGCAGGACCTGGCACTTTGTGTTGTTCAACCTCACACAATCCTGTGATCCAGCCTGTCCAGATCCCATTACAGAGCTTTCCTGTCCTCCAGCTGCTCAACACTCCTGCCCAATCTGGTGTCCTCCGTAAATTTACGGAGGGTACACTTGATACCCTCATCCAGATCATCAGTGAAGATACTGAACACCAGCCCCCGTACTGAGCCCTGAGGAACACCATTAGTGACTAGTCACTGACTTGATGTGATGTCATTCACCACCACTAATATAACATGAGACTAAACAGACTACTCTCACAAGTCTTACCAGAGCAAGGCTAGAACACAGCCTTTGTGAATGCTGGGTGATAGTAGAGAGCCAAGGAAGCAGCAGAACAGATTTTCTGGATCAGTTTGTTTCAAAATTTAACCACCCTGGCAGACAGAGCTCCGAGCTAGTAAATAACGAGTAGTAAGGTCAAGTCTTCCCTTCTCTCACTCTCCAAATCTTCAGTACACCACCTTAGTGGGAGAAAGTGTCTGCAAGAGTCAGTAAGGACAAGGACACAGTTAAGAAACACCGAGACAGCCCCTGCACAGGAGGACTTTTGAGTGTGAAGCCAGGACTGGGCACATGACACGACAGAACATGCAGTAGAATGTCAAAGGCATTTTAACTGCTCAGTACGTTGTACTGTATTTCCAGCTTAAGATGTGCACCTGGAGTGACAGCAGGAAACTACACAGGACTGCTTACCTGAAGAAGACATTATCCTCAGTTCCACTACATGTGAGATAAGCTCCTTAACCAGCCTGCTGCTCCAGTTTCTTACAGCTTCCAGTTTCTTACAGCTTACATCTTGGGCGATAAATTGGATGGAGAAGCAGTTTTTAAGCTAAAGCTCTCAAGAGCTTTAGGAAAGCTTATAGAGACATGCAGGACAGCCTCCCGGAGATGAGGAACATCACTGGCTGGACAGTCAGTAGCAAGGTGAAATCAGCACCAACTGAAATAAATATCTGCACACACTCAATTCAAACACCTCCTGTCGAAAGGGAGCAGATCTTAATTCACCCAAAGTCAAGACATTTTGCTGTTTAAAAGATCTTTAATATCAGTAATGTGGGAAGTGACATCTCTGTGCACAACAGCACAGAGACTAGTTTTGGAGATTGTGCTGTTTTAGACACAGAAACGAAACACAAGGAAGAACATGCAATCAAACAATCATCAGCTCTAGAAACATGATGATGTTTGGTCCAAAAAAAATAAATTGAAACAATTAATCAATTACTGCAAACGTAGCTTCTCTGAGTAAGGTCAGGATATTGCATTTGTAGTGTTTTCATCATGCTCTCCTTCAGCGAACCAGCGGAGCCTGCTTGAGTGAGATGAGGACTGAACGCATGCGGGACACATCTTTTGCCTGCTTACTAGACTTGGGATTAAAGTCACAGAGCTGAGCCACACGTTCCCACTCAGTGCCCGGAAAAATGTCTTCTGCATCATTCACAAAGGCTTCTTCAGCTGCCCTAAAAGCAATGCAATGCACCTTGTGTTAATGTCCAGCACAGAAGGCACTCCTTCCCTCTTACAGGATGCAGTTTCAGCATGTTTCATAAGAAATGTGACCTGGCAGCTGCTGGCGGACATTATGGCCACTTAAGCTCCCACTGCCCTAATGCTGGAGATGAAAGTACGTTGCAGTAGTGTGCTATGCACAAGCAGAGATTGCTATGTAAAATGTTGGAATACAGGTGTTTGGTTCTAAGAATCATTACTGAGTCACCGTGCAAACTGCCAGGCAGTAAGGTACCCCTATGTAGGCATTTTATTTATGGAGAAACACGCAAGTCTTAACTAGTTAAGACTTTGCCATCTGACAGCTTACACTGGACACTTGTCAAATGGAAATTTACAACCCCTTGCAAGTAAAAATAGATTCCATTTGAGGGTTCACATCAGCCCCAAGACCTACAGGCCATCATAAAACTATCTGCTGATTACTCCCAGTGCTGTAGCGAAGCAGCATGAATCAAAAGGAACTTAAATTAAGTCCCATGCTTGTGGGTGCTACAGCCTAATGCATCCCTTAGCAGAGGGGATGACTCACTGAAGTCAGCCCACAGGAGCTCCCTAAGGGGACTCTAAAGAGGCTTTGTACATAACATCCAGGTTAGTGCCAGTGGCTTCCCAGCTGTATCCTTTCGTCATCACTATGCTGCCAGCAGCATTGCTTCAATGCAGGGGTAACATTCCAGCATCAAGTATACATGAACTCCAGGGCACTGTCAGTTGTCTGAGTGCAAGACCATTAATGCATCAAGAGATCAAACCAAATCCATCTACTCCAACAAGCAGTACAGAGAAAGCAGTGAAGATGACGCTCCCATGAGCACTATTCACAGGGATGAGGAGGTTACAGACACCACTGAAGACAAGGGTCACTACGACACTGCTATTTTATATGACACGACACTTTTAGGGGGCAGCGAAGATTTTTTTTACTTAACTGTTCTAGGCTGTAGCAAGGATGATTTATGTTTGTGCTTAAAGGTGAAGAGAAGAAAAGAAACAAGGAGAGAAACTTTAAGTCAGATATAGAAAATGAGAATGAAGATGATCAGCAGACTGTACATGCATCAGTAGCTTAGCCTACATTCAGGAAGCAGGCTGCTTGTTTTATGCAGCACTCTCACTGCACAACTGAATTGGATGTATGAAAAGAAGGGGTTTACTGGGAAAAACATCTATTAAAATCAACTCCAGGAGAATTCCGAAAAATCAAACATCACCTGTAAATCCATTATTTCACAAGTCTTGTTTTACATCCAGCAACAATTAGGTAATGAATTCCACACTGGACCATCAATATTGGTGCACTCAAAGCCACACCATGGCTCACCAATACACCTTTTAAAGGTGCCACCTTTGTGACATGGCTATCTTTTAATTCAAGTCTATAAACTGAGAGAAAAAAATAAAACAAGCCAATGAACACTGCTATCTTTCCATCCCACAGAAGCTGGCATAGTCATGGCTGCATTCCCATTGATACATTAGGCTTGCAAAATGCCTACAGAGCTACTCCTGTATGTTCTCCCAGCAGCTAATGCTGATTTTGAAATACCACTTGCTGTACTTTTCATGTGCGCTCTCACAGTATCCTATTCCTATATACACATACCTCTTCTAATCTGATTTGTGGCAGGTGATTCCCTTCTACCTTTCTTGGTTTGTGGAGCATTTGAGAAAGCACAGCTCGAATGTTTTCCTGATTATGTAGGCAAATGAGCGCAGTGGCTGTTACAAAGAAACAATTAAACATCGTGTTGCTTCGTGGAGGTTATTAGGGCTAAGTAAAGAACCCACGTGAGACTGCAGACACTAACCCACACACCCAGCAAAGCATCTTGTAAGCAGTGCTCACTGGCCTGGAAACAACTGTAAACCCCTACACTTAAAGACTACCGAAGTCATCACCATAATTCCAGTAGTATGTGAACTACATGACTTCATCTGAAAGTGCTGGCTGTTGTGCAGTGCATAGACAGGAAAACTGCAGATCAGAGTCAGTCTAAAAAGTAAAGGCTGTTTAATGGCTTATACTGCCTTGAAGTAATGAAGCAGTCACCCTCAGGCATTCCGCACTATTTCTGATCATCCTTATTTGCCTAGTTGACTAGCAAAACAGAATTAGTAGTTAAGCAACATACACATAACCAATCACGTCAGCGAAGGGTTGTTTGTAGAAAGCTTCATCTGCCACCCTATGTAGCAAGTAGTCCAACAGGCAGGCAAGCAGGCAGGAGAAAAGAGATAAGGATGAGAAGTACAGAACAGAGCTGAAGTCAGTTTTATCACTTTAACCTTGTTGCATCAAGACTTACTACAGGAAAGCAGCTATTATAGGGAATGTATCCATTAAGCCCCTACCTCAGAGGGGCACACAAAAGCTCTGCTACATCCTGCAAGTTGGGACCAGCTAGTTTAGGACTAGAGTCGCAGGGTGCGCATTGGGCTGCTTCCAGTGGATAGGACCTACATTATGACAGATGTGAATGCCAAATACTGTGTAACACTTGTGGACCCTGCTCCAGAAGGTATACCCACATTCAAAACACTGGCCATAATAAAGTCATAGGGGCATCAGGCCACCAGCTAGAGCAGTGCCAGTCCCGTTCCCTTTCTTGGCCTAACCAGTAGACTACACTTCAGTGTATAGACATGTCAAATCCAGACTTCTGTAGAAAGTAGTCTACCCAGGACTCTACTTACCTGCTGTTCATTTTTGTAAGAGAAACAGCAGTTCAGTAAAACAGTTTATCTTGAAATTTGTGGGTTCCCAAAGTATAAAGCAGCCCTGATGACTACCTGGACAGAGTGACACTAGTAACCCTGGGTTAGAACTAGAGACCCAAGTGGTATTAAGTCAGTACCATCATATTTACCTTTACGTAGCTTGAAGTCAAAATCCCACAGGGAACCTTCTAAGAAAGTCGAAGTGCTTACCACAGTAGTAGTCATTAGCTTTTGCCCCAGTCATTAGTTTCTGCCAGGTTGGGTTGAAGTGCACAATTCAAACCCAATCTAGGCAGAGTCAGCATTTAGCTCTTCACTAGAACTGAGCCAGGTTATTTCTCAAATGTTTCCAAAAGGAGCAGCCAGAGGTTTTAAGATACCGAAATGATCTGTAGCAAAGACTAACTATAAGGCCACTTAAATGTATCCTGCTGACAGCAAATAAGATTGCAAGTCTCAAGGCAAGTAATTACAGTCACTGTAAAGCTTGAAGCGTGCAACAAGTGAGTAGATAAAAACTTTTTCTCACCATATTCAAACTTGGTATCTTAAAGGATCTTCAGTAATTCTGGTTCATTACCTTAATGCTTTCTTTTGGTATTCTTGGGACATGTTATCTAGATAAGAAAACCTAAAAAGATGGTCTACTACAAGAGACCCATTTCTTACTAAAAGAGGTTACTTCAATGGTCTGAAAGACTAGTGTCATAGGACATACTATAACTATTCTCACTCTGCATTGCTTTCATACCCAGTACCATAGTTCTTCAGATGACTGGAGCAATCTTACCTGTTGCTGGCTTTTGTTTTCTGGAGCTTTTCATCTTGTCTTGCATACCACTCCTCCAACTCCTTTACTGCTTTCTCCTTCCATTCTGCTTCCTGCTTTCTTGAGTTTGCATCTGAAAGTTTAATTACTTTGTCAGTCCTTTTTGTTCCCGCTGTATCTTGCTAACATCTCAGCTGATGGCTCAACGTGCACTCTAGTGCAGACAGTTGCTTGATCTACTCAGACAAGGGTTAGGAGATCTCCTGATGTAGGCCATGAGGACTCTAAATACCAGGAATACTCAGATAATTAGCTGAACAGAATGCCTGTAGTGCTTAGCTGGGACAGTCCACTTCAGTTTAGGATATGCATTTGTAGACTAATTCGGGTCCAGTGGGTCTGTTGGCCTGCAAACTTTTTACAACCAGAAACAGTGACCTTGCTATACTAGTGCTAGAACAAAGTTAAGTAAAACCTCTGTGCTTAGACAAAGCAAATGAGCCTGGCACTCAGCACACTCCTGCACCCGGCTTACAGGTCAGGACAAGCTCTTCAGCCATAACTAGCTCAGAAGAGCAGCAACAGGGTAAGCTCTGTCCAGAATCACACTGCCTTCTCACTAATTTAAGTGGAAAGCATACCAGTTTGTAGGCTGTCAGAAGCTGTCGACAGACAGATATCACTGCATTTGACAGCTGTTTAGTTACCAGTCCATTGCTTAGCTCTTCGATTAAAATCTGTGACAAGTGACAGCCTCGGTATTAAAAAATGAGCAATCTTCATCCTTTGAAAAAAAACAAAAGTGGCTGCAGTGTTCATTCACTTTTCTGCTGATAAAAACTGTTCATTTTCTGTCAGTTTATTTGTAAGTAAAGGGCAGGATATAAGAACGCTCTTTAAGGTTCAGGAAGCCACTTGCTTGCTAACTCCTACATTAGTACTAAGTCTGCTTCATGGAAGACTTAATTCAGACCTGCTGCTCAACCTCAAGAAGCAGTTTTCAGTTCACAAGAGCTGGAAGACATAGTTGAGAATTCTGCTGCTGAAAAAGCTGCCTTTAAGTTATTCACAAGCAAGAACATTACTTCAACAATCTCCCTCCTTACCAAGTTGCTCCAGGCGCTCCTTTTGCTCATCTCTCCACTTACGAATGCTCTCTGGCTCTGATTGCAGTCCATCTACCTGGCACGTGGCAGCAGAGGAGTCATTTGTACCGTTACTCTCCTTAAAGAAAGGGAATAGCAATGTAGTTTATATATGACAATTGAATATTTCAGCCACGTGGAAGCTACATAAAATTGGACTCTACTTAAACTGAGCGCATAACACATTTATCTGATGTGATACCACATTTAACATGAAAAAGGTCTGACCAGATTACTGCAGAATTGAACCCCATTAATACAGCACTGCCTCTAGCAATCAGGGCTCAAACACAAGTTCAAGCTGACAGGGAAGCCACGCTGTGTCAGAGCTCTACAACTGAAGAAAGCAGAAGAAAATGCTGAGCACCACATTGAGCCGTGTAGCACCTAGAGGTCCCCCAGTTTGTTTCACCTTAAATATTTGCTGTAAAAGTAGTCTTTTTATTTTGCTGCTGTTTTGCACATAGGAGTTTAAAATGTTCTCTGTAACTTATTTGTCTGCTTCAGAGACATTTATGAACTTACTCATACTAAAAGCCAATGTCCTTTTAAAGACATAACAGAATTTGGATTGCATCTTTTCCATCCCTAACCATTCTGTGATTCTGTGATCTCCTCCCTTTGTCATTAGTATGGATGACTAATGTGCTATGGTTGAGCTATTTAGCCACCAGCTTAATTTCATGAAACTTCATGTCACAAAGAAGTGTATAAAGTTTTCAGTCAAATACTTATGAGACCAATCTTGACAAATTATATCTTTAAAGAACAAGTAATTGAGAAAACCCTACTTTAAACTAGGAAGTCAGAGCATGCTTCAGCTTATTAGCCAGTGGCAAGTCAGTGTTATGTCATACCAGAGCCTGTCAGTCTGCTTACAGCTACGTCCTATTAAGCCATAATTCAAAACGGACTGCTGCTTTAAGTTGCCTCTAAGTTCAGAAGAGAGGCATACTAATAACTTTAAGAAATGAGCTGACAGAAGCTCCTCTTCAGAGATGAGATAAAAGTACAGTACCGACAAGAAACTGAAAGTAATAGTCTGGATTAAGATAAAGTTCTCAGAGCAGAACAGCACATAATACTTCTGTCTTACCTGACAGACTTCTCCATTAACCACTCTATCAACAGCACCTGTAAAGAAGTTACTGTAGTTTAGCCATTTGAGAAAAGACAGAACAGCCAGATTTACTGATTTCAGTAACTTGTATGGAAAGCTTTACTGGAGTATCTAACATGGGAGTTTGCAAACGGGTGTTACTTGATGCCCTACACTTTCTTATCTCTGTGCTTTTCTGGAACAAGAAACTAAGTGAGCCATTATTCTGCAGAACCAGTAACACACCATCATTTCTTCACCACTGAGATAATGCTTCAGACTACATAAACAGCACCGCTGATACTGCTGACAAGCTGCCATGGACAGCATACAGTTCCTCCCACTTTCCCTGTCTCAGAAGCTGATTCCTAGACAACTGTTCAGGAGGTATGAAGTGCAACTCGCTGCTTTAGTCTCTACCTGGAAGATTAACAATCCTGCAGCCAACACTTGGTAATTCTCATCCTACCCAGGTTACCTCCTAATTTGTAATCAGCTCAGAAGATGTAATTAACACTCCTAGCAAAGTCACCTCCTGTGATGACTGACATGTTTGATAGGTTATTGCTGGCAGCATTATTCCTTCTGAAGCGACACCAGCAGCAGAGCCTCATGAACAGCATCAGCTAGGAGTCCTTGCCACAGAACCCTACAATTTCATGTTATTAAAACACAGCCATAGTGAACACATCTCAGTTACGAGACAAACACTTGAGTGTGTGAAACTAAATCTCCAGACTATGCAAAACACACCAAGATTTTTCAAGAACTGATACATCTCAGCAAAGCATCTCTCTGGAACAGTGCTATGTAACATCCGCCTGCATGATACAAGTCTGTTACTATGTTTGTTTCACCCATAAAGCGGCCATAGATAAACTTACCACACAGAAGTGTCTCTGCCCTGTTAATACACTCTTCAGTAGAGACTGCACCAAAGTAACCCAACAGTGAAGAGAAAAATCAAGTTATTTTGCCATCTTAAATGACAGCTAATTTACCTAATAGCATTATGCTGCTGTATCCTCTATTCCTTTGTGGCTGTGTATGCCCTAGTTTTCCATTAGTAGTGTTAATGGCACACTGGCAGTTCTTCATGCTCATTTATGAGGGAACTAGACAGGTATTATGAAGCCCTTATCTCTGAGCCCTGCACAGCAGTCATTAACTGTATTAGGCAGAGGACTGTAAAGTCATCAGTTCAAACCTAGAAGCTAAGTTGGAAAACACTAGTCTCCAAGAGCATAGTTAGTAACTCCAGTTAACAAAAAAAAAACAAACAAAAAAAACACAAACAAACAAAAAAAAACCACAAAACCCCAGACCATAAAAACCACACACACACACAAAAACTTAAAAAACAAACCACAAAACTTTTCAGTTATGAGAACCTGGACTACTATATCTGAAAGGTGGTAGCTGCTTTGTTTGATTGCTCCCCCTCTGCAAGTTATAGGAGCCAGCAAGAACGGGTCTGAGAAGCACACAAAGCTGACAGCATCTATCTGCTCCACAGCAGCCACCCTGAGCATCACTTCACATTGGTATGTCAGCTCCCTCAAAGCAGGTTTGTAGAGATCACTGCACAAACTCTGACTTGAGCAGTTACAGTTCTGCTAAACAAGCTTATGAAGACTAAAGCCCACAAAGAAAACATGCTCACACTTCACTGTCCTTCAGTTTAATCCCATCTGCACTACAGGTGCATGCTGTGGCTGTTCACCTTGTCTTGACAGGGCTGAATTTAAAAGCCAAGCCAGTGTCTGCAACTCAGACTGATAACTAACAGCTTGGATAAGCCAGATGCCCACTCTGTCTGCCTTGGAAGAGCAGAGTAGCTTACACATGATCTTGAACTTGTCCAGTCTGATGGTCTGAACAAATCCCAACAGATGCTAGCTTTTTAATACATGAAGTTCTCATCTCCAGGGGAAAAGCAGTTTTTTCGTGAGACAAACTCCTTTGGAAGCACTGGCTCACCAGACAGGTGAAAGGGATGAGCCTTGAAGATTCTTCTAATACCTGTGAGAATATAACCAGGTTTTTCTGTTACACCAAAACCCAGGAATTAAGGTTTCAGCACTTCGGCTGGTCATCTGCTGAGGACTGTAACTGAGATAAAACACGCATTCGTATTGGGGGTGCTTTTCTTTTGCATAGAAAAAGCCATTAAGTGGCACACAGCAAAGTCTCTCCAGAGAGGACTCGCATTAGAAGCATTAAAACTATTATTAAAACAAGCTTCCCATCTGTTCTGAGATCCCCAGAACTAGTGATTAAGATGCAGAGTCAGCATGCTGACAGAGTGTAACACCAGCAGAAGAGGAAACGGATTCACAAGCACACTAACTGGAACAAGACCAACAGCCAGGCCTTCTCTTATTTCAGCTCTCCAGTCTCAGTACTTGCATAATTCAGGATGAAGTAAAAAATCTGGCTGCTTCCCAGACTTCAAAATGCTGGGTGCGTGTCAAATTTCTTTGTCCACAGAAATATTTCATACCTGACCCCCCACAAAAAAAGTAAAAAAGCCTAATACTGTTGCTGCTATCCTCGTGTTTTCATCAGCCATAAATAATGTGCACACTCCACCGGCTTCAGAGTCCATCATAGTCTATCACAGCATTGCACCTTGAAGCTCCTGAAGTTAGCACTGCACACTGTAGTTAGTAATGATCCATGTTCCTTGGTGTTCACTTCTGAACTTAAGATAAAGTTTTATTTCCAAGAATATTGTTTCAAAGAACATGTCCAACCATCTACAGCTCTAACACATGCTGACAATAGCATAATAACAAACTTCCACACAGCAACCCAGATAGTTTAGAGTCTGGAAAGGTTTGGAGAGGATAAACTGTATCAGTGACCTTGCATTCACAGGAAAGAAACAACAACACAGCTTGTCAGAAACAGACAGGGAGTGTCACTGCCCTTCACACATACCATACCTTACCAAAGGAAGGGCTGGGTAGGCTAGGAAACGTAACAACAGCTTGGTCACTTCAGTACTACAAATAAACATAGGGCTTCAGAGGCTTATCACAACAATTATCAACTGCTCTGAATGCAACTACTTGCATTAATACCAGATTTGGTACTACCTGCCATATAACGACTTTTGCTTAACCTTGTTAACTAGTCTCTCTGAAGCCTTACTTTTAATGTAAAAAGACAACAGCTATCAGGACAGAGGCAGGACTTCGCAGAGGCAGCTCTTCTAACATGAGTCCAACCACTTCCTAACATATCAATTAGATCCTCCTAAGGTCTTCCTATCCATCTGTACTTTGGACAATAGCCTTATGCAGGAGAAATGAGCTTCAGTATGACCACACAGTCCTCACGATTAGAGGACTGACACATTTTTCTTACGTTATTTTAAAATAAAAGTATTTTTATGAGCTACTTTCAGTATTTCTTTTAAATAATAAGTACTCTACTTCTTCATTGCTACTTTGAGTGAACTAGTACCTACAGTAGAAACAACAGAAGAGCATAACCAAGTTTCTTATAATCCGGCATAAGGTTGAGTAACTTCAACACTCAAAGCCTAGATTGTCATCATTTTTCTTCTGGGCACAAATCATTCTTCCTCTTCACATACCTCTCATCCATAACAGATGAGAAAGAAAAATCTTACCCAAAGATTTTGCTTAGATAGCCATGCAAGAAACTTTGAACGTTATTCTCCTTAAGATGCTATTTGACAAGCTGTCACAAGGTTTTTGTATTGACATACTGGTTCTAGAAGCAACAGCACTTCAACCTGAGCTCATTCTCTCCTGCTCAGAGGATACAGCAAGTGAACTGCTATAACATGAAGACATAGTACTGTCAGACCAGGGAAACTTAAGGAATTTCACTGTAGATAAACGCAGGTATTGATTCATCACCAAAACAAAAATCTCATAAAAGACCAAGTTACTAATAAGTAGGCAACAGGACTGTATTCCTGTTTTCTGAAGCAGTAATTCTGGTTCATCTTTCAAGGGAAATTAGATTAGTTTTCATGTCAACAAGATGGCTATTTACATCACCATAAAAGTCCAACTGGTTCAGGCCCGTATTACAACCCTGGCCAAGGCAGTATGAAGCGATGCTGAGTGAGACACATGAGCATGGCAATATTCTGCCATTCACCCCATACTCACCCAGTACCCACCACTACTGCCATTAACAGAAATACAAACATCAGTTTTCTGATATTGATATTGACAGTTCATGAAGTCCACTACTGTCCATGTACATGTCTATTCTTTAAGAGACTGCAGTTTAAAAACTGTGTCTTGTATGAGGCACCGTGTTTCTTACAAGTGTATTTCAGGAAGTTCATGACTGCTTCTCACAATATCTGAAATTAAGATTTTTGAACTTCAGTTAAGAGTTGCCTGAGTTAGGCCTTCTGGGCCAGTATTTAGAAAGAAAACTCACCCAACAGACCTGTGAATAAGGAGTTAAAAAGGTTACGGTTAAAAAAAGTAAATCCACAAATCCCTGGTCATGAGGCTTAAAGATTAACGTAATTACAATACAGTTTAATAAACTAATATGCACTAGAGATAAAAGCTGTTCAGATGGTAAGAAATCTCAAACACAAATGGCAACAGAAGTCTTTAGATCATGTCACCATGCCTGGACCAGTACATTTTGCACAGCTGCAGTCCACATTAACAAGGAGGGTGTGAGAACAGGCTCCAACAGTCAGCAAGTGGATGTTCTACAACCCACAGCACAATCTGCTACACCTCCTGAACAGCCCAGAGAATAAATGTAACCCCAGTGCATACAAGAAAGCAAGATAACATACAGATCACATCTTCACTTCCCAAATCTTGAGATCATATTGTACTGTTTTATGGCTCTCTTTCCCTAGGGAGTTCTCCAATAACAGCTTTGTACTCCATGTCACCTGAACTTATGCAACTTGAGTAAAAGATCTTGAGAAGCAGGCTTAAGAACTGCTTTTACATAGTAAGACAATCTAGAAGAATTTAATGACTTTTTTTTTTAAGGAATCATTCTGCAACAGCCACACTGCATGCACAAAGAGAAGAGATGGATCTAGTTGGTTCTAATAACTTGTAAAAAAGGCCAATGACAGAACTTTCTCCAAGCAAATTAGTCCTTAAGCAGCTACTTTAATGTTCTAGAGCCTGTTTAGAACCTGAAGACTACCCAATGCATAATGTTTGTCTGACGCCTCTGAAAGCAGGAGGGGAAGTGTTCACTGTGCCTGTTCCTGCAGTATACACAGAATACAGAAGCCATGTGTGATACTAAATCAGGATGTGTTCTGATAACAAGCTGTGCCTGGGGGAGTTTAGGCTAGATATTAGGGACAATTTCTCTCCTGAAAGGGTGGTCAGGCATTGGAACAGGCTGCCTAGGGAAATGGTGGAACTACCATTCCTGGAAATGTTCACAAACCATGTACATGGGTCCTTAGTGACATGGTTTAGTGGTCGACTTGGCAGCGCCAGGGGAATGGTTGGACTGATGATCATAAAGGTCTTTTCCAATCTGATTTTATTCTGTGATTCTATAAATAAATCCTCATGTTCCAGCTCTTGAGGAAGTGACTCCACTGCAAACACTCTTTTTACAGTAAGCACATAGTCTGTGTATTTGAACTCCATGAAGGAGCTAACTAAGGGCTATGCTACCACTGAATAAGCACTGAAAGAAGCAGTTTGTCTGTTTATCTAGTTGGGCTTTATTCCAAAGGATACTATGAACCTACATCCTCATACATTAAGATATGACAGTAATATCAGAAATCAAGTTGCATAATGAAGACTTAATTCTAAATATGTTCTAACAGTGAGCTGGGAAGCAAAGATATTCAACTTAGCCTGAAGAAGAATGGAATCTTCCCAAAGTGACAAAGGAATGTCCCAAGAGCAGACACATTCTTATGGACCCAGTGACAAGCACAAGCAGTCTTCCAAGAGTGTTGAAACATCAGTTAAGTGCAGTGCCATCCTACATTCAGAATTCCTTTCTACTTCAGTTAAAACCCCTAAATCCTTTGTAATCACAAGTATCCAGAGGGCTACTGTAGCTATTCTGTTAGACTAGCCTCCAGCTCCCAACATACCTCCTCTGAATCCAACAGTGTCAGCCATCTCACATGCAGTACAAAGGTTACGCAGGAACAAAGGCGAGAGGCCTAGTAAACACTAGCTCCTCTGCTTATACTTTGAAGACTAAGATCACTGCCTTTGAAAACAGAAGAGGCAGAACACAACATCATGACTTACCCTGCTTCGTTTCAGGCACCCCTGGATCAGTTACCCAGCAGCGCTCTCCACACTTGGGGGAGCGTGAGCCCTCGGGCGCTCCTATAAAATCTTTCAGAAGCGCCTGTTAAAAGCCATGACCACTCCACCCGCCGGCGCTGGCAGATGACCTGGCCGGAACACAGCACATAGCTGCACGGCCCAGCCCAATCCAGGCGCATCCCCAGCCCGCCTGCTCGGAGCGAGGGCCCCGCCAGCCACGGCGCCTCCACGGGAGCAAAGACATTGCGGAGCCGTGATAGCAGGCCCGGGACCGCTCCCCTCCCAATCGCCCGCTGTACCAGGGTCCAGGCCCTCCGGGATCTGCAGCTCCACCGGCACCTCGCCGTTCTCCAGGATGTTGTAGCCCTCGTCGTTCTCGATGCCCGCGATCTCGTTTTCCTGCTGCGCCAGGAAGGCGGCAGCAGGATCCTCCTCGGTGCCTTCCAACAACCCGTTACCGGCGGCCGCGGGCTGCTGCTGGCTGCCCAGGAACTCTAAATCCGCCATGGCGGCGATACCAAGCAAGACTGGCAGTTCGCGCGCTGCTGCGGCGCCACAAACCCGCGCGGAAGGGGCGAACGACCCGCCCAGCTCCTATCAGAGTCGGGGATCGCCGTGGCGCAGCCAATCAGTGAGCGGCAGAGGCGGGGATAACGGTACTTTATGCCTTATAACTTGGGCTCGAGCCAATCAGCACCAGCATCGCAGCTGGACGCCGGGAGCGCCTCGGCGCGGGTGGGCTCGTTTTCTGGTAGGCGGGAGGGTGGCTTTCCCTCAGATTTGCCTGCCAGGAGGAGCACAGTAAGGTCATTTATATTAAGTGATCTCCCACAGCACAGGGAAATCGGAGGATTCAGAGTAACAGCAATAGCAACAGAAGGGCGCGATCTATAACAACAGGAAACACGAAACGTCACAAGGCATGTGTTGCACTCATAGAAACCCGCTGGCCTTGTCCCGTCACCTCGTCTGACTCACTCTGCTGTCCTCATATCTAAACAAAGTTGGAGTATTCACAGCTTCCCTCTAACTGTGAACATTGGATTTTGGATGACAACTTCCTCTTCTGCCCTTGCAATGGCTCTCAGGCCCATGGGGGACTTTTGATCACTTAGTGCCACAAACACAAATGGAATATTATGAATTAAAATGAAAAGCAAATCTAGTTACTTACTTGTCTTAAGGTTGCAGGACAGGGAGGAAGGCATATGAAATATAAGCAGTACTACAAGTTTGCAAATGGCCCAGGAAAAGCATTATGTGTGTTCCACCAGAATGGGAAACTTAATGTTACTATTTTCAGATGCAAAGATAAAATACACTGACTCAGTAGCTCTTTTTTTATGATGAATGCCAAAAACTGTATGCTGGCTATAACTCGAGTACACACTTTTGCACTATTAAAGCCTTTTTTTTTCTTTTTTTTTTTCTTTTTTTTTTCCTGCTTTCTCACCCTGCAAAAGAAGTAAAGGTACCACCTTTCAGGGCAGGTGTTAGAGACCATTACAGAACACCATCCACAGTGGTTTGTTGATGTGTCACACTGAGGTGAAGAGTGTATTGCAGGAGAATTACATGAATAAAATCTTCATGAAATGACAAAAAGGCAAGCAGACTACAAAAGGCTTTCGGGATGGATCTGTTTCTCTCCATTCTGTGAAAGAGGTGACATGTAATTCCAATTTCCAAATGTACTGAGATCTGGTTTACAAGTAGTTTAAAAATATGATTGTTCCAAGCCCTGTCCAACCTGTCCTTGAACACTGCCAGGGATGGGGCAGCCACAGCTTCTCTGGGTAACCTGTGCCAGGGCCTCACCACCCTCACAGGGAAGAACTTCTTCCTAAATCTCCCCTGTGTCAGGCTATAGCCATTGACCCTTGCCCTGTCCCAACAGGCACTTGACAAAGCCCTCTCAGGGCATTTCATCAAGCTCACATATGTAGGCCATGAGCATGTAGAACACGCAACATTCTCCACAAGGAACCTGATGTTAAAACCAGAGCTGTGAGCTTTCAGGGAATCACACTTGTGCTACATTCCCATCTTCATCAGATCCTCCATAGTGGTCCAATTTGTTGTTTTCTCTTCTGTGAAATGCATCTTCTCACATGGAGGCAGAGATGACAGCATTCTGCCTGTGCCTATTGTCTATGTGGTCCACTACAAATGATGCTGTCATTGCTAGTCAGAAACTGGAAGTTACCCTTGTCAGAACACAGAATTGGTGAGTTTTCAGGCTTGTTTGCAGCCTGTGCGAATTTGCAGTGTAAACTTGAGATTGGTACCAGGTGTCTTGTTATCATGTGAAGTTTAAGTGTGGGATAATGCCAGACACCTTGAAGATACATGCATAGCCTGAAAATAGAGGCCACAGGGCTGTAAACATCTCACTGGCAGTCAGCTTGTGGTTATTGAAGAATTATAACTTCAAGAGCTGGGGACGCTGCTGTAGGTATAACAAAAAGGATAAAGCAGTCAAAACACTGGAAAAGGCAAAGGGTGAGCTCAGGGGAATTTAACTCCTACCAGCATTGTACATACAGCTTATAGGCCAAGGAAAGGAGGCAAAGACTTAAAATCCACCAAGAAACTCAAAGCATTTTATAAATGGACTAGATCTTGGTAGTTGAAAGGGATTGCAACTGGCAAATGGTCATCATCACTGAATCATCATGGAATTCTTTTCCTATAAACTGCTGAAAGTATATTACCTGCTTCAAGTACCATGACTCTTCATAGGTTTTTTATCACACCAGCCAAGCTCCAGAGCTGTATAAAAGTCTGTTTGTGTCTGAGTGCATAAATTACATGTGCTTGTTGTCTCAAGCTTTGTAATTCATCCGTAAATCATGTAAATTCTGTTTGGCTAGCGTGATAACTGTCCATGTGGCAACTATCACTTTGATCAGCCTTGAAGTGGTCAGACAGTTGTACTGTAGATGATACTTTTAGGTCCCTTACAACTGGAACTGGTTTGCTCTGTTCTGTTCTATTTTATTCTACTCTTAGTATACTTATTATTGTGTACAAATACATCCATAAAATCCCCAGTGTGGGATGGCTCTCCCACTGATACAGAAGAAAACCCTGGTTTAGAACCAGGGGTTTAGAGACCACAGAAAGTTCCACAGAATACAATTTTGGTGCTTTCATGCTTTACATTAGAATTGTATATGTATGTATGTGTATATATATATCTGCATAACCTTTTATCTCCAATTCTACTGCTTCAATACAGGATAAAGAGGAGCACAGGAGCTCAATCTTCTGTTATTTTAGTTTGTGATAGGCAAAATGGTATTCTGGCATTGTAAAACCATTCTAGAAGTTAATTATTTGTGTTCTGGAGGCATCTTTTTCCTGCTGCTTTACCTGACGGTTGAACAAGGAACTTGCCCAAGAAAGAAGGGTGCTCCTGTTCTGTGGGGCTGGTGGTAAGCTTTGTGTGAGAAGAACCTAGAGAGCCCAATGAACTTGAGGAACAAGTTGGGGCTTCGGACTGCAAGCCATATTGTTTGGTTGGAGGAAGGTCTCATATCATGGGTATCCTGTAGTAGATTTGAGTATAAAGCAAAAGTCAGTGAGACATAGCACATTAGAGACTTGCTTCAAATATTACAATTAAGAAATACTTTCTTAATGAACAGCTCTTTCAACCAGCTGCCTTTTCAGGGGACACTTCTTTATATTTTTTCCTCAGCATTAATGTGCATTCTGCATTAAGGTTACACTCACAAGTTGTTCTGCATGGACAACAATAAGTGTGGGTGTTTAAATAAATGGTTGGTTTATGTTTAAAGTCTTAACATCCAACAGACTATGGTGTGGCTTTCAACCCTATATAATTCCTGAAATCGTATTATTATTATAACCAACTGTGGGGTATATTAGTAATGCCTGCAATGTACTTTAAACTTTTTGTGTTTTCTCTAGAAACTGTGCATGAACATACAGAGCGTGTATTACCCATTTCACAAAAGGTAGTCATTTTTGTAGGTACTGTATTTCGCTCAGACCTCTTTCTGTACCTGTGGCCTAGCATTCTTAAATAAGCTTTTCCTGCATTTGTATCCACCATGACGGTAGTCAGTGTCATTGACCAGTGAATATTGATAATAGAGATACAGTTATCATGAAACTTTCCTGGCTGGTGAAGGGCCTGGAGCACAAATTTGATGAGGAACAGCCGAGGGAACTGATTGTTTGGTCTGGAGAAGGAACAGGCTTCCCAGGGCAGTGGTGGAATCACTGTCCCTGGAAGTGTTTACAAACTGTGTGAATGAGGCTGTCAGTGACATGGTTTTGTGGCAGCCTGGCAGTGCTGGGGCAATGGTTGGACTTGATGATTTTGAAGGTCTTTTCCAACCCATTGATTATGTGATTCTACTCAACTTGGTTAGCTACTGGATGATATACATAGAACTCCATTACACTGAAAAGTGACGACATTAAGCTTTGATAAAAATATTTCCTGACTGCCAGAAACAGGAACTCATTAGAAAATGAGATGTCTACACCAATGTTAATAGCTCAGCATCAGCACTGTGCATGCTGCTGCTGCAGAGCAGAAACACTGCTGCAGTTAACAATTAGCACGCTGCTTTTCTGAATACAGATTTATTAACTGTAGGTCTAAATGAGTTTCAGTGCTGGTTTAATTCCATAATGCCATGTACCTGCTGAGTTCAGAGGGGCTTTGCAAAACCATGTGTAAGGTTTGCCACCGTGTCTTTGATTTATTTTGGTGTATCACTGACAGCTTTAGCTAAACCAAGCCCTTCCTGTAAACCCTCTATCAACCATCATATGGGGTCTCTCAGTGTGTGTTTTCTGGGAAGGCGGCCCGTGCAGCTGCCCCGGACCGACCGGTGTCCCACAGGTGAAGCCCAGGGCGGGTACGTGGCCGAACGCTTCTCGGTCCTCAGGCCGGGCCGCTACGTGTCACCGGCACTGCGCTGTACATCTCCAGAACCCCATGCCTCCAGCGAGGCCAGGCATAACCCGCCGCGACTACCAGGACCCCGCCTGTCCCCGCCCTTGCCTCACCATTCCCTCAGCGCTCCCCGCCCGCACAGCGCCCCCTGGCGGCCCAACCAGCATGGTCTCCGGCAGCCGCGCTCCCTCCCTGGAGCTGGTCAATGGGGAGTGCGGTGATGCCGTCAAGCCCCGCCCTGCGCGGCGCGGATTGGCTGTTCCGCCGCAGGCCGAGGCCGTGGCGCTGCGGCAGCGGGCGAGCTCAGCGCGGGTGGGCGCCATCATGTCGCGGGAGTTCGAGCTGTGTCCCGGGCGGCGAATTGGTGGCGATCAGCCATGCTTCATCATCGCAGAGATTGGGCAGAACCACCAAGGCGATCTGGACATCGCCAAGCGCATGATTCGCATGGCCAAGGTGCGCAGCGCTGTTTTGCCGCCGCTAGCCGGGCGGTGGGCGGGCGGTAGTGGGGCTGCCCCGCGGACGTGGACGCTGCCTTCGCCTCTGGGTGCTGAGACCGAGGTGCGGGGCAGCGGGAGTGCGGTGGCACCGGCGGCGGGCAGGGAAGCCGGGGAAGGGCTGGAAGTGTTCTATGGAGGCAGTGGGGTGGGATAGCAGGGAGAGAGGGGGCTCTGCCCCTCTGCACCGCTCTGTGAGACACACCCCCCCTGCAGTCCTGCATCGAGTTCTGGGGCAGCAACACAAAAGGGACGTGGAGCTGTTGGAGCGAGTCCAGAGGAGGCCACGCAGGAGGAGGTGCTGTGAGGGCTGGAGCAGCTCTGCTCTGGAGACAGGCTGAGAGAGCTGGGCTGGTTCAGCGTGGAGGAGAGAAGGCTCCTTAAGGGGAGACCTTAGCGCAGCTCCAGTGCCTAAAGGGGCTACAAGAAACATGGAGAGGGGCTTTGGACAAGGGCCTGTAGGGACAGGACAAGGGGGAATGGCTTTAACCTGACACAGGGGGGAAACTGCGATGAGATCTGAGGCAGAAGTTCCTCCCTTTGAGGATGGTGAAGCCCTGGCACAGGCTGCCCAGAGAATCTGTGGCTGCCCCATCCCTGGCAGTGTTCAAGGCCAGGCTGGACAAGGCTTGGAGCAACCTGGTCTTGTGGAAGGTGTCCCTGCCCATGGCAGGGGGTTGGAACTGGATGAGCTTTAAGGTCTGTGACTCATGATATACAGGAGGAATTTGTAAAACACAGTAGCTAGCAGGAGGAGGTGTTGGTGGTGAGAAGCAGCAGAGCAGGTGATGACTTTGTAGCCCTCGGTCTGTATTTTGCAGTCTGTGGACGTTCTCAGGAAGCCCCCACCTCATTCACAGTACATGTATCTCTCTACACACAGGCAGATTACACAGCCCCCGTGGGGCTATCAGCAGCCTTCCAGCTGTGTCACAAGATAACTGTGAACACTGGAAGAATCAAGTAACTGCCCCTGATGAACCTCAGATTTGATTCCGTTGCAGTAGAGTGCTTTTAGGCCATGTCAGCCTGTAAGGCAGCCAGGCTGCTTTGAAATCTGGTATTGTAACCATTAGATATACTTCTGTTAGAAAACATCATCACTGAAGAAGTCAGGGCATGATGAATTTAGACCTGTGACTGGAGTATATGTACAAAATAATGTGGTCAATTTAACTGCACCATTTGTGTTGCTTCAGAAAAATTTCAGGTTTGAGCTCCTTGCTCTACAGAATCCTGTTGCTTGTTTTCATGTCAAGTTACCATGTGGCAGCTACGCTTCAAAAACACCACAGAAGTCCACTTCAAATAAAGAGGCATGCATAGAAAGAGGCAGTTCAGTTTTTTAGTTTTGGTGTGTTTTCTTTCTAGACTGCTGCTCTACTGCATATGGAGGCATTCTGAAATAGAAAGACTTATGTGTTGGCAGGCTGTCCGTCACTCATTCCTGTTCATACCAGACTGATGTGATGATGATGTTGAATTTGATGATCTTAAAGGTGTTTTCCAACCTGGTTGATTCCGTGTGAAAACTCCACTGCACACAAGCCCATCAGCTGCACGGTCCTTGTGCTCAGGCTCGGGGTCAGCGTTCAGTGTGTACCCACTTGTTTTACAGGAGTGTGGAGCAGACTGTGCCAAGTTCCAGAAGAGCGAACTGGAGCACAAGTTCAACAAGAAGGCTTTAGAAAGGCCCTACACGTCTAAACACTCGTGGGGAAAGACCTACGGAGAGCACAAGCGCCACCTGGAGTTTAGCCACGACCAGTACAGAGAGCTGCAGAAATACGCTTGGGAGGTTGGCATTTTCTTCACGGCTTCTGGCATGGATGAGGTACGTAAGCTGTGCTGGAATGACAAGCAGAGTCTAGCTGTTGTGTCGTGTCGGTTGTTCGGTGTTCTTACATAAGAATATAAAATACATGGGAATGTTGAATTTCTAAATCAGAAGAACAGAGTAATTGTAGTTCTGCAAGGTCACTTGTATCTACTGAGTGATGGCTGAACATCTAGTGAGATGACTGAACATCTTGGGAGACCTGCATGTATGCTGAGTTGTTTATGCACAGTAAATTATATTAGAGAAAAGGCCTCTGTTGAACTTCATAAACAATCAAAAGCTTTGAGAGTTTAGAACAAGACTACAACCTGACCTCTCTCCAGTGTTGACTGGTATATTGGCACCAAGCATTTCAAACCCCTGTATTTAAACCAGATTCCTTTCTCAAGTTATTCTCAACATAAACCCTTTTATTTCTCTCTTTTTTTTTTTTTTTCCCTGTCTGCTGTCTACTAGGCCCCAGTTGGTATTTCCAAGCATCAGAAATGCTTCTATTCCTTTTCTTTTACTTCTCTCATGGGGAGGGTCTCCACTTTGCACTGTTGCTACTGAAGCATTTAGTGCTTTTTTGTCAGTGGGCCACTGAACAGTCAGTCACCAGCTTGTGGACTCCATGGAGCTCATCTGGTGCTTTTCATCCATAGGGTATGAACAGTTTAATTCTTATACATTACCTGTCTCAAAATTATGTTAGTTACATTGTTTTGCAACTAATTTTACATCATGCTGCAACAAATGCAGTGCACAGTTGAAATGTGTAAACTGGAAAGATCAGGAGCAGTTAAACTGCAGTACAGATCAGAGGTTACAGATTGGTTTACTTTTCTTTGTGGCCTAGAAAATGCAGAGAACCAAACAAAGAAGTAAGCTAGCCACTCTTGCATCAGGTAGGCACAGCAATGTTCCTGTCTTTCTGCAAGTAGCCTTATCGAGGGTAGGATTTGTTCAATGTTTTAAAGGTGATCTGTTCAGTGCTTCTTTCTCCTCCCTGATATATCAGCTTAAGCTCATTTCTCACAACTGACAAAATTTCATTCTTTCTTTGTATCTCTTCCCTGTGTATTTGAGCACTATGGTCACATCTCTTGGTTTTTTTTTTTTTTTTTTTTTTTTTATCTGGACTAAGCAACTTCAATTCATTCAGCCTTTTTATCCTGTCTTTTCTAGTGCTCTGGACATTCTCACTGCTTCTATCAATTTACTGTCTGTTGACCAAGATCCATAAATTGCTGTGCCCCAGCTAAGATGATAGGAGCACCAAACACCATGAAAAAATTACTTCGCGGTTTGACAGACAAAATGATATTTTGCATGAATTGCCATAGCCTGATGCCATGTGCTGAGAAACAGATCTGTGAAAAGAGGGTGTTGTGATGCTTCTTTTGTTGTACTCTTCATGTCCAGAGGTCCTCCTGAACAACACATACTCTTTTAAGAAAAGAATAGTTAAGTCCAAGAGTCTTGGAGTATCTGGAACCTTGAAGACCAAAATGCCTTTAGCGGGGGGGAAGTCACACTCCTTGATGTTAAAGCCTCCAGCTTATAAAGGCTATCGTGCAGTGCAGAACACCTTTCATGTGCAGCAGCTAAGATCACTTTCCACCTTTAGGATCCCTCTTTTTTTCAAGATGTTGTGCTTCTTTGTGTGTGACCTCATCAGCTAATTAACGGTACTGATACATGTTTGTGTCTTTTTTTCCTGGTGGCATTTCTGTTAGATATGAGCTTGGAACTCACATCAGACATTGCATAAATGGATGTGATGAGTTCCTGAGAATACATTGACTTCTGTAAATTGAACATGATCTCTGGAACTCCAGCTATGTTGAAAAGGTTAAATTGTGTGTTTAACTGTGTGATGAAATCAGTGAAGTGATGTGTGAAGTAAATATAGAGTAAACACCTTTATCTACCTTGTGTACTGGAGACAGAACAGGATCCTGTGGAACCACTCCCTTTAATGTCCCTGTTGTTTAAGATTACTTACTGATCCTTGAATCCCTTGCAGAAAAGCTGCCACTTTTCAAGAGATATTTACCTAATGAAGTGACTTTAGATAAGGGGGTCTGTCAGTTATACTTCATTTTGTGCAGACTTCTTCAGATATCTGTGGTTTTCTAATAGCGTGAATTCATTGTCTTCACAATGCATCTTAGTGAATAAACTCTATTGAAGAGGTGTTATGCACAACAAAAAGTTGAATCCGCATCATTATGATGGTGGAAAAATTAGGCTGAAGAGGATGTGATTCTCTTCTGGACATTGCTACTCTTTCTCTGGCAGGAAGTAGATTTGGCTGCCACAGTTAGAGCGGAGGAAATTAAAAATGCTTGTGGGTGGTTGAAGGGGGACAAAGTTAGATAACTATTTCATTGTTTCCTCTGGATGTGATTAGAGAATTTTTGTATCTTGCCTGTGGTAGATTTGTGATTTTCTTCCTTAAAAGTACCACACAGCTTGGTGTCATCATCAAACTTGCTGAGAGTGCACTCAATCCCACTGTCAAGTCACCAACAAAAATGTTGAACAAGAACAATCCCAACACCGATCCCTGAGGAACACCACTCACCACGCTTTCCACAAGTCCAGGTAGATGACATCAACTGCTCTACCCCTGTCCATCACTTCTGTAGCCCCATCATAGAAGGCCACCAAATTGGTCAGGCAGGATTTCCCCTTGGTGAAGCTATGCTGGCTGTCACCAAGCACCTTGTTGTTTTTCATGTGCCTTAGCATGCTTTCCAGGAAAATCTGCTCCAAGATTTTGCCAGGCACAGAGGTGAGACTGACTGGTCTGTAGTTCCCTGGGTCATCCATTTTCCCCTTCTTGAAAATGGGGGTTATATTTCCCTTTTTCCGGTCATCAGGAATTTCACCTGACTGCCATGATTTTTCAAATATGATGGCCAGTGGCTTAGCAACTTCATTCACCAGCTCCTTCAGGAACCGTGGATGGATTTCATCAGCTCCCATGGACTTGTGCACGTTCAGGTTCTTAAGATGGTCTCAAACCTGACCCTCTCCTACAATGGGCCTAAGATCTTAATTCTCAGTCCCTGCATCTGTCTTTCCAGACATGGGTGGTGTGCTCAGACCATTTGCCAGAGGAGAGTGAGGCATTAAGAACCTCACCCTTTTCCAAATCCAGGGTAGCCAGTTCTCCTGATAGCTTCCGGAGAGGATCCATGTTGCCTTAGTCTGTCTTTTATTCACTACATACCTATAGAATCCCTTCCTGTTATCTTTCTCATCCCTAGCCAAGTTTAATTCTAACTGAGCCTTAGCTTTTCTGACCTGGTCTCTCGCATCCTGGACCACATCCCTGTATTCTTCCCAGGCCGCCTGTCCTTGCTTCCACCTTTTGTAAGCTTCTTTTTTCCCTCTTAAGTTTCCCTCTAGGGTTCCTATGGAACCTTACTAAGCAGGTTCCTGAAGAGGCCAAAGTCTGCTCTCTTGAAATCCAGGGCAGTGAGCTTGCTGCATGCTCTTCTTACTGGCCTGAGCATCTTGAACTTGACCATCTCATGATTGCTACAACCAAGGCTGCCCTGGAGCATCACATTACCAGCCAGCCCATCCCTGTTGGTGAGCATGAAGTCAAGCATGGCACCTTTCCTTATCGGCTCCTCTATTACTTGCAGAAGGAAGTTGTCTTCCACACAATTGAGGAATCTCCTGGATTGCTTGTGCTGGGCCGTACTGTCCCTCCAACAGATATCAGGGTGTTTGAAGTCCCCCATGAAGACAGGGGCCTGCAAGCATGAGGCTGTTCCTATCTGTCTACAGAGTGCTTCATCCACAGAGTCCTCTTGATCAGGGGGTCTGTAACAGATCCCCACAGTAATGTCCTCCACTGCTGTTCTCCCTCTGACCCACAAATTCTCTGTTGACTGATCACCTATCCCCAGACAGAGTTCCATGCTTTCCAGCCTCTCACTGGCATAAATAGCAACTCCCTCTTCCCGTCTGCCTGACCTGTCTAAAGAGCCTGTAACCTTCCATTCCAACACTCCCAAGTTATGGCAGCTATCCCACCATGTTTCTGTGATGCCACTGATACCATATCCCTGTAGGGGTGCACACATCTCTTAACTCCTCTTGTTTATTCCCCATACTACAGGCATTTGTATAGAGGCATTTGAGCTGAGCTCCAAATGAACCCAGCTCACTGGCTGAAGGAGTTGAAGTATCTTTGCATCACTCTTGAGTGTTTATTACAGGTGCTGGCAGCTGACTGGAAGTGTTGGGATGGAATGATGCTCCCCTCCCCTATTACATGTAGTTTAAAGCTTTCATGACCAGCCTGGCAAGTCTCCTGGCAAAGCAGCACGCAGACCAGCTACACCAGCCCCCAGTAGACCTGGCCTACTAAATTGAATCCCATGTTCTAGATACCCAAACCCCTGGCTATGGCACCACTGTTCTAATAATTTATTAACCTGCAAAATAATCCTAGTCTTTTTAAGGTCCTCCCCTTTGTCCTTCAGAATTGATGAAAAGACAGTCTGAGATCCAGAGCCCCTAACCACCTCTCCCAGGGCTCTGCAGGCCTTAATGTTCTCTGGGCTACTGCTATCTGTATCCCTAGCACCCGCACGGACCACTAGAATTAAGTCAGTGGGGCTTCCTAGACCAGACAGCCTCTCTGCAACATCCCTGATCCGTGCCCCTGGAAGGCAACACACCTCCTTTGAGACTGGGTCAGACCGACAAATGGATGCCTCTGTCCCTTTCGGAGTCCCCTACTACTACAACCTGCTGCTTTTTCCTGGCAGCACCGGTAGTGATCATATTTACCAGTGCATCAACCAGTTGTTCATGTAGTGAGTGTGTTTTCTCGTTAGCCCCCTGCAGAACTGTGCAGTGATTCTGGGTGAAGACAACAGATTTAGGAAGAAGCCACTTGCTGTTAATTGTCCTCTTCCTCCTCTTTTTTTTTTTTCTTTTTTTTTTTCTTTTTTTGTTGTTACTATTTCCCATCTTCCTCGGTTAATGCTCTCCTTTCCTGCATGAGCTAGAGTGGACGCTTGAAGCCCCTGCACAGTTTGGGCCTGGAGCAAGCAGTGCTGCTTCCTCTCAACTTCCCTGACATCTTTCAGCCTAGTGACAGCGTCCCGCAGCTCAGCCCTTGCTGCAGGAGGAACTCTGCCAGGGAGCACCGAGTGCAGCCCTGCCCATTGTGCAGCCTCCCCTCACCAGACCAGTGCAGGCACTCTCTACACCCCGAGCTCTGCGCTGCAGCCTCCCCTCATTGAGTCTGTCTGGTGCCGATGTTCCTACTGCCGGGGCAGCCACAGCAAAGCTCCCAAAGCGAGAGCAGCCCGAGACCTGGGCCCTGACGGTCCCCCCCCCTCCCGCCCACGCCAAATGCTGCGCCACGCTCTCCCTGGGCCGGGTTTTCCCCGCTCGGAGCGGGGCCGTCCCTCCTGGCTCCGCCCGCTGTGAGTTCCTGCTCGCCTGAGCGGAGCTGCGGCTCCTTGGGCAAGGCGGGGCGAGGGCTCGAGGCTCCCTCGGTGGCTCTGGCCGCTCAAGAACTGAGGCTCCTGGACGCTGAGCTGCCGCGCGCTGCAGGGTTGACGGCTGCTGTCTGGCTCATTTTGGATTTCCCTTCTTGGGGCACTGTTTCCCAGGTGCTTATTCAGTATACTCACACAGGTTTTCAGAGTGACAGACCTATTCAGGAAAACTTCTGTTTGCAGTGTAGTAATTCTGTCCTGCAGGAAGTGTGTGGCAAAAAGACTGCTTGTGTGACTAGAGTGTGTTTTTTATTCTGCGGGGAAGGTCCCATCTGCAGGTAGTTGCTGTCTCTGATAGTACCAAAAAGAAAATGCTGTGGCCCACAGGCTCATTTTGAAGCTAGAGAAGCAGCTGAGCTCACCTGAACTAGGCAGCTGTACCTACAGCTTGACCAGCTACGGCTGGGAGACCAGAGAGCCTGGCTGGAGACAGGGATTCCAGTCAAAAACCTGTGTGACATCTGCTTTTGGAATAGAGGTTTGGAAGAAAGCACTTCGTTAATATTTCACCTGGAGGGAAATGAGAAACTAATCTCCTTGCAATAGTAAATACTATTTCAGGAGCTACTTGGGATATATACATGTATGTCCGTGTGTATGTATATAGGTATACACACATATATATGTGTGTGTGTATATACATGTGTATATACGTATGACCTACTAAATTTGGTCAAAACTAAATTTGGTTTTGCTGTTTTGAAGGGTTGTTTGTATTCCAGCATGGTAGTTCTTCAACTTTGATCCAGCTGAAGTGGTGAGTTGAAATTCAGTGATGTCTTTTCCTTGCAGATGGCTGTGGAATTTTTACATGAACTGAATGTTCCATTTTTCAAAGTAGGATCAGGAGATACAAACAATTTTCCCTATTTGGAGAAGACTGCAAAGAAAGGTATTCATTTCCTTTCGAGCTGCCCCAGTGTGTCCCAGTAGATCAGTTATTAGATATTTCCTCCTGTTGATTTTGGGAAAAAAAGTGTAAAAATACCTTTAGAGGAAAATCCCCCTCAGACTCAGAGAGGCAGGGGGAGCGGGAAAGGTTCACCCAGCTTTCTTTCCTAGTTTAACTGAATTAATTTACCTCAAAAATTTAATTTAATCTCACATAGCTTTCTGACAGACCTAGGACAAAACATGTACATATTTTCTAATGGGTAGGTCGCCCGATGGTGATTTCCAGCGGGATGCAGTCAATGAACACAATGCACCAGGTTTATGAGATTGTGAAGCCCCTCAATCCAAACTTCTGCTTCCTGCAGTGCACCAGTGCATACCCGCTTCAGCCAGAGGATGTCAACCTCCGCGTTATATCGGTCAGTAACCCAGAGTGTGCCCTGTGCAGGGTACCACTTTCACTGAGATCCAGATCTTAGGCATGCTGGAATTTGCCTCTTAGAAGTTAGAAAGATGTGTAATTTTCCTGTAATTCATGCAAGTGCTGAAGTAAAGATACCCACTGTATCCTTTTTCAGCAGAACTCAGCTTTAAGGAACATTATAAAGGGTATAACCTGGAGTATTCACGACTAAACAGGGAAATATGACATATGGTTATGTCATATGACAGGTCAGCTGCTGGTAGTGCGAAGAAAAATTATGTAGACTGTTACCATTAAGAAGGTACATGGAATTGATAACATAATTTTAAACAGCGGGCTAGAAGAGAAAACTGTTTAAAATGCTTCATGTGAGTATCAGAGTAATGAAGAAAATGGATTAGGCCCATGTATAGTTTCCTTGGCTGAAGATATTTCTTGGATATGCCCAATAAAAATTCAGGAAAATTTTCCAAAATTGGCCAGTGTTCAAGCACATGCCTATCTTTATGCACATATAGTCTGTTATTTTTTAGTAGAATTTTTAGTGACTGTGTTTAGTTGACTTTATGATTGAGCAACTGTCCCTTATGCATGGATGAAAGGATTGCTTCAGATTTTAAATATGTGGTTGAAGGAGTCTGCTTTGGCTACAGGTTAAGTTTAACTGGTCCACTGTTTTTGTGGATGAAAATAGAGCACTACTCTGTCAGTGTAACTGACAGTGATGTTAGTTACGTTTTGAACCTTTCAGGACCTTGAGGAGTACAACTGAATTAAAAGGAAAAGCATAAGTGAAGTTGTAGAAAAAAACACACCATCTTTTTCTTGTCAGCACTGAATTCTTAGTAAAATTCTTAGAACATGATGATCAGTAATGCAGTGTGACATGTTGAATGCAAGAAAGATCAATTTTCAGCGTAACCAACTGCTTGTTTTGTGGCACAGTAATTTGCCATGATTTTTATTGCAGTTATCACTGTTAAATTTGCTTTGTCTTTGAAATTGCTACCTTGATAATTCAGATCAACTCTGTCACGATTCAAGGCCTATCAGTCAGCTTTTCCTGATATCCCCATTGGCTACTCGGGGCATGAAACTGGCATCGCCATTTCGGTGGCAGCGGTTGCGTTGGGAGCTAAAGTGGTGGAACGCCATGTGACTCTGGACAAAACATGGAAAGGAAGTGACCACCAGGCATCCCTGGAGCCAAACGAATTGGCAGAGCTGGTGAAAGCCATCCGTACTGTGGAAAAAGCAATGGGATCTCCAGTCAAACAGCTACTGCCCTGTGAAATGGCTTGCAACGAAAAGGTAGGTTTAGATTTGTTTCATGTATAGCTGGAACTTACTTAGACCTATGGTTAATAAGTCTGTATTCAGAAAAGCAGTGTTTTAATAATTTATTGCAGCAGTGTTTCTGCCTCTGCAATCAGAAATCTCTACTCTGCAGCAGCATCTTGCGCAGTGCTTACGTTGAACCGCTGGAGTGGGTGCAGACCTGTCATTTTCTGAGAGTGTTTCTGGCAGTCATGAACTATCAAAGCATAATGTGGTCAGTGTTCATTGTAATGGAGTTCTGTGTCTGTCATCCAGTGGTTAACTTAGTTGGGTAGAATCATGGAGTCATTTATGCTGGAAGGGACGTTTTGAGATCATCGAGTCCAGCCATTGCCCCACGACTGCTAAGACCACCACTAAACCATGTTGCCTGTACATCTAAATACCTCCAGGGACGGTGATTCCACCGCTGCCCTGGACATCTTGTTCCGGAGCCTGACCACCCTTTCAGGGAAGAAATTGTTCCTAACATCCAGTCTAAACCTCCCCTGGCACAGCTTGAGGCCATTTCCTCTTATTGTATCATGTGTTCCCTGGGAGAAGAGACAGCCACCTCCTGGCTCCATCCTCCTTTCAGATTGTTGTACAAAGCGATAAGGTCCCTCCTGAGCCTTTTCTTCTCCAAACTAAACCCCCCCAGTTCCCTCAGCCATTTCCCATCACACTTGTGCTCCAGGCCCTTCACCAGCTCCGTTGCCCTTCTCTGGACCCACTCCAGCACCTCAATGTCTCTTTTGTAGTGAGGGGTCCAGAACTGAACACAGGATTCAACGTGCAGCGTCACCAGTGCCTGGTACAAAGTACTTGGTAATAGTCATAGGAATATTGGTTCTCTGTGACTGTTTATGAGCTACTATTACACTAAGCTAGAATACCAGTTAGTCTAATGAGATTCTCTCTACTCTGATTCTGAAAAATTACAGTGATCCATTATCTAATTTCAGAAAGAGAGCCTAGTTACAGTGAGGTTACCACTCAGCCTTCACTTGGAATAGGAGTTAATGAGGAGGGAAGTTCTATACAACTTATTCCCAAGTAACTGCAGAATATTCCTTAGCCTTTTTTTGCTATACTTTTTTGCCTATGAATGTGCTTGACTTATTTTTTAATTTTCTGTTTTCCTCCCCTGTAGCTGGGAAAATCCATTGTGGCAAAAGTAGCAATTCCTGAAGGTGCAGTACTCACACTTGACATGCTGACAGTGAAGGTGGGAGAGCCCAGGGGATTTCCCCCAGAAGCAATCTTTGATCTGGTGGGCCAGAAGGTTAAATTAAATATTGAAGAAGACGAAACCATCACTGACCAAGCAGTGGAAAATCACGTCAAAAAAGTAAAGTGCTAAATCAGAACACTCTATTCTGTATTTCATCATATATATTTAAGTATAGCAGCATTGTAGATTAGAAGGAAAGAGTGTAATTATGAGGATTCAAGCAGGTTAGAATTTTCAGGTTCTCAAGTTGCTGAAGCAAGTGGAGATAAATTACGAAGGGTAATTTTATTAGAAATAGTATAGCATTGCATCTAGAAAATACTGTGCTCCTCCTGTCTCCATTCCTTTTAACCTAGGTTAATTTGGAGGTTTGCCACATGTAGAACCACAGTCTGCTACTGTCTAACTTCCTTTTCTGGTAAGAACACAGTAAATCATGATAATTTTGTCTGCAGTTTGAGTTGTTCTAACTCTGTACTTTTTGGTGTTCCTCTTTATTTCTTCCTCACCCTGTGATAACAGCATGCTAGTTGGAGTTGAATTTAGATAGATGCTGCTGAACAGTGTAACCTGCAGTTCTTAGGAGACAGTACCCAGAAAGGAGGCAAATGGGATATGTACAAAGGTCCCATTTAAGGGGCAAGGAAAGAGCCTTTTTGTACTTTTCGTGAACTGAAAGGGGAGAGGGCAATCAGACAGATTAAGGAGGGAAGAGTAGATGCAAGATGGATCTGTGGAAATAAACTTACCATACACTTCAGAAACATGTCAGAAGAGTCTGTTGTGAACTGAGTGAAGCCTGAAATCTTCAGTCAATTTGGATACCTCTGGGGATACTATGTTGGGGCAGCTTTTCTGGTAGGAAGCCAAAGGCTGGTGAAGATTCAGCAGCTCCTTTCCTGGACTAAGCCAATACATTGGGTTGGGTTATTTCCCCTAACCCTGATTTTGGAAGCAGCTGAAGCTGAATGCTTGACCAGATCACATAACTGAGCTTCAGCTTGTGGTCAGTGCTGCTCTTGTGTTCTCTGTGCCTGCAGCACAGCTGCTTGCTTTTCAGGTATGAAGTGCAATCCTACTTCTGTCAGCTTGCTGCTCTTCCCTTTGTCCAGGAACGAGGCCTGTGACAGCAGTTGAATCTCTCAGCACTTTTAGTACAGAGATGCTTTGGTGTAATTCATCTCCATTTTTCTTTAGTGGAATCATTTACCTAGTGATGGTTATTTGGAACTTGCTACCTCTTGGTCATGAGCTGATGAAGTGTCTTGAGTTTGGTGGTAGTGTTTCTGTGCCTGTGAGCTGTTGACTTTCAAGACGTTTACCCTTCTGCAATTCTGAGGAAGCTGTGTTTGCACCTTTAAACTGAGAAGCAGAGATCATTCGAGTCATGTGCTTGACCATATGTGAGCTCTGACTGATGCAGTACGCTTGCCTTACATTAAGAAAACTGCTCAATTGTTAAAATGATTCTTTGTTTCAAATTGAAAAATAAATTTGCTGTATAAAACAAGGTACTGTTTCTGCGTTTCAGCCTGTGGTCAGACCTTGCCTTTGCCAGCACCAGTGCCATGGTTTCAAGGCCTTCAATATTTGAATACTGTCAGGATGACCTGACCTCGTTCAAGCAGCAGTGGTTCTTCACTCCAGCAGGGCTGGTTCTAGAGCCTGCTGTAAATGTAGACAGAAATGTGCAGGAACTTTAATAATGTATTGGGGAAAAAAATAAATTACCCCTGTACAGAAACTTGGAGCTGTCTCCTTTTATGAGAGCATACCCTTGTGCAGTTGCAGTTAAAGAGCCTTTGCAAATAGGACACACAAATAAATGAATCGCTGACCCAGTGTTTTTATTGCCCCTGTGAGTCCTCCAGGCATCTCATCTTCTCTTGGGCGTGGTACATGATTTCCTCATGGTTCTGCTCTGTGCAGGAAGCACAGGGCTATTCAGAGGCCCAGTTCAGGGTCTCTGTCACAGGACCAGCTAGCTAATGGCTATTGAGCAGGGCTGCAGAAGCTCCTACTTCAGCTTTATGTGAAGGGACCATTCCAAAAGTTGGTGCCAGTCTTTGATTTTTATGAGATGATACTTAATTGTGAGCGAATTTGCTCAGTGCACTTATTATCCAAATCTGACCTTTTCAACTATAACAATATGCAATAATATTGTTATATTACATACACAATATGTTACTATATACAGACTTGAAGCCTGAACCGACCTAACTGCAGATCCTTCCCAGAGCCTCAGGGCTGGGTACACGAGTTTTATGAACCTGCAGCAGAAGGTGTTCAGGTGAGCCATGCCATTGGTGACATTGTAGAATGAAAGGATTCCTGCTTCATAATCCAGGAAAACACCAGTGTGATTGGGATCATCTCCTGTGCGGAGGGATTCTCTCCCCCTAGTGAAATGCTCAGTATGCAAACTCATTAAAGCACCAGGATGCTCTGTTCCAGCCGCATTGGCAGGTTTTGGAGTCTCCTTTCTTGTCAATGGAAGGGTAGGCTGCACCAGCCCGCCATCCTGCTCCAGTGTGGAGCAGGTCCGCTTCCCAGTAATGGCTTCCAGAGAGGAAGGCATCCCTGCTCAGCACTTGCCATAACTTACTGAATGTGGAGCAGGTCCACTTCCCAGTAATGGCTTCCAGAGAGGAAGGCATCCCTGCTCAGCACTTGCCATAACTTACTGAATGTGGAGCAGGTCCACTTCCCAGTAATGGCTTCCAGAGAGGAACGCATCCCTGCTCAGCACTTGCCATAACTTACTGAATGTGGAGCAGGTCCACTTCCCAGTAATGGCTTCCAGAGAGGAAGGCATCCCTGCTCAGCACTTGCCATAACTTACTGAATCTCTGGGGACCACAAGGATAGAACAACCTCCTCCAGTTACAGCTTATTGTCATCAGACAGTTACAGTCATCAGACAGTTACAGTCATCAGCATCAGGTGAAGGCTGTCATGCTCCTAGCTGCACAAAACCAGGAGAAAAATCACTCATGAAACTGAACAGGTTTGAAATGACAGTCACACAGGACAGGTCAAAAAGCTACAGGACTTTGAAGAGATTTTTCTTTGAAGACACTGTCCTACAACTGCAATATTGAACTGCCACATGTCTCACACAGGTTTTCCTTTCCTATACCTCAGTAGTTTACTGTGATGTCATATGCTGTTTTCATGTTATAGAAATAACCCCAACGTGATCTGGCATCTTTAAAACAACCCCCTTCACTCTTTCTGTCAAGCCTGATGAAACCAGTGTCAGTACTTAAAGGACACAGCACATCTATTTTTTCTTGTAAGTGAAATACACAGGACAGAGAGGATCCCCACCAGAACCCACACACCACAGAGTGAGGACAGCTCCACCACTAGGTAAAGACTGTAACAGACAAGTCTCCCTGCGTTCAGTCCGCCGATTAGCTTGTTAGGCTGCACATTAGGTCCTCCTGCCGGCAGAGCAGGGGCTATGTCAGCCAAGAACCTAGCTGTTGTGGTTGAGGCAGGGCCTGCCAGAACACTGCAGGAATGAAATGAGATTAACCCGTTGGCTAGGACCTTTTGGGGGGAATCCCAACAGTGAAGAAATAAAACCTCTAGGTTTTAAAAGCAATCTAAAGAATAAAATTCCACCCCACCCCAATCTCTCCAAATCCATGTTTCCTATGTGGGAGATACGTTGCTAGCACACACAGCAGAATGCCAAGGCCACTCACAGCAATGGAAACTTCCAAGTCTGCTACAGTGCAAGGATGTGAAAATGTACCAGAGGCCTTCCCATGAAGAATGGGATCCTTTGGCTTCTGTCAGGGCATAAGCACGTGGCCACACACCCTTACCAAAAGGGTGAATGTCATTATCAAAGAGAAACTGACATTTCCCTGTAGGCAAAAGGAAAAGCACTGCCCCCTCCAGTAAAATGGATGTTGCTCAGGGTAATTAGGATCTCTTTCTGTTAAAGAAATCAGACAATTTAGGCTTCCTCCTGCTGTTTCCAAGAGGGTTGCCCTTCCTCAGACCTTCATATTACACTGCAAAAAAGAAGACCTAATACAGGTCCTCAAGATTGAAAGACTCGTGACTCTTCCATGTATGTTTAAAATTATTATGAATTTCATACAGACCTGAAATCAATGCTATAGCAGGAACACCTGACAGCTCAAAAAACAGGAAACTGGTTCATCAAAATACCAACAGAAAGAACATTAAAAAGCAGTGAGAAAGATGCTACTTCCATACAGAAGGATCTACGGAAAAGGTGACTAGAGCAGTTTACTTTGAGAATAAGAGGTAGAAAGAGACCATACAATACCACCTCCAGCAAATGAATAGGATCAGCGTGCTGCTATATTTGGTCCGACGTAAGAAGGCCTCTAGGGCTGCAAGCTTCTCTTGACAGGCCCCCAGCTGCTTTGCCTTCTCAAGGGGGATGCAAAACCCATCAGAAGCAAAGTTATGCATTCACTTCGGAGAGATCAACTGCCAAATCCCACTTCTGAGGCAATCCCTGGAAAGGCAGGCTTTGGTACACATGGATTCCTAAGAAATATCCTTAATCAGCATGAGCAAATCTTGTGTGTGCTCCAGGTTTCTGATACCCTGGGAAAGATTTACAAGGCATATAATGAGTTCTTTTCTTAACAGATTAGGACAGATAGTACCTCTTGCTTCAGGCATGGAGTTCTTGCAAAAATCACTTCTGCCTGCTGCCACAGAATGAGCACTGTGTGCAGTTCTGGTGTCCCCAACATGAGAAGAACATGGAGGTGTTCAAGCAAGTCAAGAGGAGGCCACGAGGATGATTCCGGTATGAAGACAGGCAATAAACACTGGGACAGACCACAAAACATGCCTCTTCCACAGTACAAACCATACAGTTTGTACACATAGTACATGGTGAGTTTAGGTTAATTCTGTTGCCAGAAAGATCAGTTTTCTGCTGCTGGGAATACTGCCTAATCCAGCAGAGCTCACAGGAATTGGATTTGGCTGCTGCCTGTGATTAACCTGGTGCCCAGAATCTCGCACAGGCTGGTGCTGCACCACAGAAGTTGTTTGCAGCACACACACATATGCTGGAGCTGTCAGTGAATAGCATCCAGAGAGAAAGGGACAAAATCCTGGTACGGAGGCAGCAGCTAAGCTGATGTCAGCTTCACTTGCGTTCATCTTGTCACTAGTTCTGCAGGGCTCAGGTTTTTTAACATTTGCCTAGATTATCTGAATGCAAGAGTCGTAGAATCACAGAATCAATCAGGCCGGAAAAGACCTTTAAGATCATCAAGTCCAACCGTCCACCAGCACTGCCAAGGTCACCACTAAACCATGCCACTGAGGGCCTCATCTACGCGGTTTTTGAACACTTCAGGGACTGTGATTCCACCACTGCCCTGGGCAGCCTGTTCCAATGCCTGACCACCCTTTTGGAGAAGAAATGGTTCCTAATACCCAGTTTAAACCTCTCCTGGAGGCCGTTTCCTCTTCTACTATCACTTGTTACTTGGGAGAAGAGACCACCCAACCAATTTTCTATCCATCTAATTCTCTACTCATCCAACCTGGA